CCACAGCCATACAGTTTGTAAGCAATATGTCTCTCTGTTTACTTGGTTGGGTCTGAGTGGCTGTGGGACTGGTGGTAGACAGAGATTTGTCGTGAATGTGGGCAAGGCAGGAAAACTCTAGCTACACTGAAGTGTTTAATTTTTTTTTTTTTTAATTTGGACAGAGGCTGTTTTTGGCTCAGAGCTCACTGGTAGGTTGGCTGACAAGTGAGTCCTGGGGATCCAATTGTGTATGTCTTCCTAGGTCTGGGATTACAGATGTGTATATATCCACACACATGCACACAAAATACACGGCAGTGGGACAGTTATTTGAGATGTAAGCTGGGCAGGAAATCACTAGAGCAAGAGCTTAGACAGTTTCCACAGGGGAGGCGTGGTTAAGTGGATCACAGACAGCTTTTCCTCATGTGGATTCTGGGATGGAGCTTGGCTCCCCATGCTTGCTGAGCCATTCTCCCAGCCCTAGGGCCAATTTCCATTAGAATTTCATTCATTTTGAATAATTTGTTCTGTATTCAATGGGAACATCTTAAAGTAGACATTTTATATTTTATTCTTGTGGATGAGTGTTTTGCCTGCACATGAGTATGTGTACGATGGCCTGCCCAGTGCCCATGGTTGATAACCACCAGTGGGTGCTGAGATCCAAAACCAGGTCCTCTTGTAGGAGCAGTAATTGCTCTAAACCACTGAGCTCTCTCTCCAGTACCTAAAAAAAATAATTAAACGCAAACATTATCTTTTCTAGAGGTATGATAATTGTTAATGAGATCTTGAGAGAGGTTGCAGTGAGTTTAATGTCCATGGAATTCCCACTTCAATGTTCATATTATTTTAATGTTTCTACCCCACACGATGATACATCTCTGCACAAAGTGGCTAATCCATTCAGTGCTGTGGGCTCTGACTTGGAAGACCAAGAGGCACCTAAAGGGACTTGAGAGAATTTGCTCTAAGATTTCCTCTTCTCAAGGCTGTCAAGTCAGTGGAGTTGGCACAGACTGCTGCCTGCAGAGGTATTTATCTTCTCACTCACTCAGGGCAGGGTCAGCCGTGTTGCCCCTCCCGTGACATTATGACATATCTGACATGTGTGTATCTTCGGGTACACAAATGCAGGGAGATCCCCACCATTCTTCACCATGTTTGTTTATTATTTGTACTTGGAGGGAGACGCATGCCTCGGTGCATGTGTGGAGGAGTGACAGCTTTGGGAGTCAGTTCTCTCCTTACACCCTGTGGGTTCTGGGGATCCAACTCAGGACCTCGGGCTTGGTGTCATGTGCCTTTGTTCACAGAGCCCTGTTGCTATGTCTGTCACTCTTCCTATATCATCTTGTCTTTGAAATCGTATCATGAAAATATTTTATTCTTTTTAAATGTTAATTTTATCATGGATGGTCTGTATGTCAAATTTGTTGCTCTGATTGGTCAATAAATAAAACACTCCTTGGCCAGTGGCTAGGCAGGAAGTATAGGCAGGACTAATGGAGAAGAGAAAAGAAAGAATAGGAAGGCAGACAGAATCATTGCCAGCTGCAGCCATGACAAGCAGCATGTGAAGATGCAGCCTGTAAGCCACGAGCCATGTGGCAAGGTATAGATGTATGGAAATGGATTAATTTATGCTATAAAAACAGTAAGAAGCCTGCCATGGCCATACAGTTTGTAAGCAATATAAGTCTCTGTGTTTACTTGGTCGGATCTGAGCAGCTGTGGGACTGGCATGTGATAGAGGATTTTCCTGACTGTGGGAAAAGCAGGAAAACTCTAGCTACAATTATTTTTAAGATAATAAAAATGGCATGCATTTACTGTAACCAGAGAGACAGCACTAAGATCTGGAGAGGAAAATTTAGTAATTCCAGCCTCCCTCAACTCTCTCTGTTCCCATCTGCTTGAAGCCCATCCAATTGGGCAATAGCTTCATGTATAATTTTGTAATATTTTCATATTTCAAAATC